AAMYWRATAGTCTGACTCAAATATCAACTTTGTGTCTCAATATGTATGTTTTTTTTTCTTAGCAGTTTCGCAAATCGTTAAAAAATGCCACTTTCTGTAGAAAAATTGAACAATGAATGTTATAATATGGCATCCCTATTTTWTAGATGGCGTTTAATATGTTTTATAGTCCACTGAATAATTGTTCTTCAGTAAAAGTATGAACTGTATATATCGATGTGATTAATTATTTTTGAAGACAGTGATTGTTTGGCAGGTGAACACTTGTTGATGGGTGCTCGAGTTGGCGGTAGACAATACATCATTTTGCATAAGTCATCCAATAATCTTGAATTATATACCTCCTTTCATGTCCGACGGATAATAATCAGTTGTTTTGTGCATAATTTCCAGCTCCTTTGAGCATTTTAGCTACATTTTAAAGCCATTTAAAACGAGACAACTGTTTGCTGCCGTCTGTCCGCCATTTTGTCTTCATCTCAAAGTTGAATATTAATGCAATTGACGTCATGCTATTGTRACATCACAATGTTACGACACTCTGACTCGGGCGATAACATAGTGGATACGTCCTAAGGACGGGAGTAACCACAAAAATAACTCTAGAATCGCTTCGATATATTTATACCAAAGCTAAGACACTGACCAGTAGTTTAGTGTCCTAATAGGTCCCTGCAGAATTTATTTTGTCCATCAAAAGCCCGTTTTACTGGTCCACAGGAAATAGATTTGTATGCGCGAATCTACCTGCGCAGACGTTTAGTGACGTGTCGTTATCACGCGTCTTCCTTATCTCGCTCCCAATCTCCCTCTTCTTGCCAGCAATCATTCTCGTACCCAGACCCTTTTTCATCTTCCAACCGAAACGGAAAGGCTCTGGGACACCCTGAAATTTCAATTCAAATAACAAACGGACAAGATTGTAATCGCGATCAAAAATTCAAATATTTGTTTAATTTTKGATATCTCGGTACGTTTTTTTCGTACATATATTCTTGCCTATTCTGTTCTCGAGGTGAAATAAAAACCTGTGTCATCATTCTTTGCAACATCGAACTCGTCATATTCACAAAAAAATGCATGGTACTTCATTTGTGCATAAATATAGACTGTGTGCTTTTGTTTGGATGGAAGCGACAATGATTTTATACACAGTGATACTCTAGATGGGCTGATGCAGACTATTGTTGTTAGCACCAGATGTGGTCGTGATCATCAGATGTGTTCATTGTACAAGATCCTACTGTGTCTTATAATTTAGAATACAATCTAATGCGAAAAATATGTCGTATGATTGGGGGGTTCGCTACKTTTTTAGGGGTTTTCTTGGGGAGGGGGGTAATCAAGTTTTCATTCTGTTATGTTTTGTTGTTAGAGTGRTGTCATAGGAAATGCCGCCCCCTCCCGATGAATGAGCACTCCCTAAGTCTGTTCAAATATCCTTTTAATAGTCAAGCCTTCAGCTTTTAACTGCTCAGTATCAAATGGTTGTTCAAAGWAAAATCAAAGTAAGCAGTTGATCCAGGGTTTAGAAGTCAATTGGATACATGCCTTTCTGAATGAATTAGACTTACCGCTCACCCTGAAGCATGCGGTTTATATCCTATAGTATGCGGATTTCTCAATGAACTTTTTGCGTTACTGAATGCTACAATTATTTTGGCGTCAAAGGAAGATGATGATTCAAAGTGMTCAGATCATCATCACACCTGCCAAAAGGTCTCATAATAATAACGGCTAACAAAAGGGGGAAGGATGTAAAACTACAAACACGCACACAAAGAACTTATGAAATTTATGTGTAATTTCTTTGAATGTTCCGCTTCAATATCGATTATTTTTATTTAATAAACAGGCCTGTGATATCAAGTACTAGAAAACTGATCCCAATGTATCGATACCCTTGGTTTATAATAGTTACTGACAGTCACTCGTGATAGATTAAGAGATTTCCTATGTACAAAACCTARCAATTGATATGATGAATTAACTAGTACAATATTATCCCAAATTACAGTGAAAACCCGCATAAACTGAACAACAAACAGGCCAAAATTTGGTGGCAATAATCAACTTGTAAATACACACATTAACCTAACAAATGAAGAGAGTTTTTAAATAAAAGCTAGAATMAATATGTATGTTTACTACACATTGTATTGGAATAGCTTATGGCAGATCCAGTATAGATGTTTCAGGGTAGCTATATTAAGAGAGTATTCCTTGTTTTAACAGATTCATAAATCTGCTGAGGTACGTGGATTAATGAACTTTTTCTTTTGAAGAAATATTCGAGAATTGGTATTTTAAAAAGGTATTTTTGTGATAATATATCATAYATATTTTGTTCAGGTTAGAGATGCAACTTTACCGTTAGAATGAAAATATTATCTATTCATAGCTTTCATTTTGGTATTGTATTGATGATTATGTAGTATTTTTAAATGAGTACTGAKTTTTGGCCAATATCACGAAAGAAACAAAATTACAAAAAATGCAGTGAAATGACAACTTTTCTCCAAATAGCGTTATCTATGGCTTTTGCGGTTGTTGAGAATTATCTCAAAAATCAAACGACAGTTGTCCACTAGTGTGTGAAAAATAGACCCTCACATCTCATTTTTAATCATAACTCAGATAAAGCACGCCTTTGACCATCACGCCTCGTAGAACATTTAGCTATAAACTTCCTAAATTGCTTATTCCGGACAAAAGCATCCGCCTTATTTCTTTTCGTTATCAAGTCAGTCTAAATGACTTGCTTTTTAAGGTACCCTTTTAGTACGAACTTCATATTAAAAAAGAAGGCGTTTTAAAATCTACTTAATTCGMTTTAACGCTATATATCATATATATTATATATATTTGCAGTGGATGAAGTAGAAATAATAGATAACTCGATAATGAGCAAAGACACGTGGGAATTTGCACACTCGAACTCCGATTCTCATAATAAAGACACTTCTTGAGTGTTTTTGTTACTGGTTCCTATTCTTTTCTCTTAAAAAAGCAATTTCCTGTTCTGCAGTGCGTCTTAAGTCTCTCTAGGAAAGGCCATTTGTTCAGCGGGCTCAAGATGTGTTTTTTCGAAGTCGTGGGCGAACAACATTGATATGTATATATAAAATATAAACTAATTTAATAAAGTAATTTGAATCACTAATCGATTTCTTCCAATGAATTTGGAATTCTTTTTTCGATCACATAGAAATCTAAACGTTTTAATTGTATTACGCAGCGATGTCATAATTGGCTGTCAGTGCTCTTCAAACTCTCTTATACTTGTTATAAAAGCAAACAAAGCACTCTAGGTACTTAGAGTAGACGCTAAATGAGTTCTAATTGACTTGACGCTCAGTAGCCGCTTCCTGGGTCAATCAGACCATATAAAGGGTCGACGCTAACAGTGATCTAGCAACCATGAAGGYCGTAATACAGTTAATCACAGTTGGACTTATACTCAACTATATTTTCATGATCAACGCCTTTCATGTWATATTGAAAAAACCTGAAGGAAAAAGATCTTTTAGGGTAAGGAAGAAGTAATATTCACTGAGCTATTTTTTTAGTTTAAAAAATTCACAATTAACCATCAGCTTAATCTGGTTCAGTTTTCCGAACTTTATTGTGTCTCGTAAAGTTTATCTATACCGTACGATTTACCTTGTGAGTTTATATTGTGAGTGATGCCTTTTTCTTTATCATATTGACTGTAAGAGCCCGATATTCATCTGCATGACTTTTCCTACAAATATCAAGAAAATATAGTCACACGAAAGTAAGAAACTTTCTTTCCAAGTTCTTGCGATGCTGATGACAACTCGTATGACATGCTTAATGCAACAACAGCTTCTTTAAATGATAGTCACRTAAATTCACTGAACTTAACCTGTACTCATTGCTGTTTTATCAGCCATGTTTGTGCGTCGTTCATGCGTCGTCCACACGCTAAAGCAAACGTTTGCCTTTTGATCGCCTATGCCGTTTTTTGAAGCTCCATCGCAGTATAGTTTTCTTTCCACGCGAAGACGGTTYCGGCAAAAGGAGTGCCACAAAATGTTAGATATAAGTAAACATARGACACAGAGGCCAGCATCTCGAAAACAAATCTATATTCACTCTATGATTATAGAGGAGCTAGCGAAGGTCCACGCGAGTGGAACACCATAGATGAGGAAAAATGGTATTTTCCATGGAACGGTTTCCGCGGTACGCACGCTTCCTTCCTTCTTCCGTCCGTAAACAACCACAGGAAACCCATACACCACGCCACAATAAAAAAGAACTTGTCCCAAAATGTTTATGGAGGGGAGAGCAATGTTTATCATGAGAGAAGTATCCAGAGAGAGGACAACGCCCAAATTAATTAACTCATATCAAACTTATTACCATACATCGTGTGACATTTGCTTAGATTAGATCTTTTGATATGTTATAAATGAAGAGCGCAAATACGGCATTTTTGTAAAGAATATATAGGTTTATCGGTCATTAGAATATATAGGCTTATTGGTCATTAGAATATATAGGCTTATTGGTCATTAGAATAACAAAAAGCTTTAAAAAAGATGTATCGGATTTTGCTCTCCGAACCCTGCGACTCTTCAACAATAGCTTTTACTTCAATAGCCTTCATAAGAATAATCAAAACAACATAAATCGCTCAAAATTAAAGAAAATGCCCTGAGACTTCACAGAAATGTAAAGAAAAACACGATACACAGGTAGAGATGTTTATTTCTATTATATTTTAAACAGGGTCTTAATGGGGGGGTCTCAATGTCGGTAGTCAGTTAAAATTTCGAGCATTTGTCGCTAGTCAGTTAAAATTCTAGGCATTTGTCGGTAGTCGGTTATTTAAAAAAAGTTGATAAACATTAAGTTTAAATGCATCTAAAACGGTGCTTTATACCAATAAAATTCTTTCTAAAATGCCAACAATTGAATCCTCGAGTCTTGATTGGTCAATTGGATGCCCTTAAAGTTTTTAGAGTGGCTCATCACAACTTCAAGAAGCCAATCCGAAGCAAAATTTATTTTTTCCGCGTAAAATTTCGAATGTAGTTGCTTGAAAAATTAAAAAAAGGTTGTATTCACGGAGCTAACATCTTTGAATATTGGAAAATGTCGCCAGTCAGTAAATTTGTTAATGTCGGTAGTCAGCAAATTTGGTTCAAATTTGTCGCTAGTCAGTAGTTATTTTGTCCATTTGTCGCTAGACGGTTAACCCCATTCAGACCCTGTTTAAATATTTCTAAAAGTACACAAATGCCTAGCTTGGGCTACCTGTGATCGCCTGGCTATTTTGATGCTCAACTCCAACTGTTCCAAGACGAAAATACATACTTGGATTTTCAAATTTTCTCACGAAGAATACACAGAAAGGTCACATATATCTTTATTTCTTAAAATCGATGGTGGGTTTTTCGGATTGTCTTTAATATCATTGCATTTTTTCAAAAGTCTTGAGATCTGGTCTCTTTTCGTCGATACTCTTGAATGATGACGGACTTAAGTTTGATATGAATTTGAACCCGATCGCAAAAGACACAAGAATACTAGCAACCAGTAAGATGATTTGATAATCATTTTTCACTAAGGCCTACTCTCACAAAACCATTAAAAAACTACGAAAGGCATTCCAACTCCACTGGAAAAAATCGCGCGCTTTTAAGGTTGTAAATTTGATGTAAATATGATGTAAGTGTCCAAAATTCTGTAAATTTGATGTGAATGATTTCCATTAAATTTACAGAATTTTGAACACTTACATCATGTTTACATCAAATTTACAACCTTTAAAGCGCGCGATTTTTTCCAGTGCTCCCTCTTGTCGATTTAAAGTTTTAGCGGCAAGTGTAGATTGCTAAAATGCTTCAAATCGCTTTAATTAAAACCTGTCTCAAAGTTACGGCGACTATTCTTCTGGCACCTAAAGGTACGCAAAATTGCCTTATATTTTGAGTGGTTTTGTGCAATATTTACTAAAAACAAAAGACCCATATAAATACAGGTACAAAGTACAGTCAATGTACACTAGCAGTTATCTGGGACCCGAACCCGGTCAATTTGTCGGTCCAGATTCTCAGACGATTACGATGTGCCCATATCTCTCTACATTATTAATGGGGTGAGGTAAATGAGAACACGCACCACGTGTTCGACGACTAAGAAAATGGAGTTCCCGCCGATGATGTAACAGTGCCGATAGCTAAGGAGCACTAATGATGTAACAGTGCCGATAGCTAAGGAGCACTAATGATGTAACAGTGCCAATAGCTAAGGAGCACTAATTTAAGCTATGAATTTCTTTATTAGTCATTTAGTTAGACCACAGTTAGCATGGAAGACAGTCTTCTTGATTTGAAAGGAAAGTGGGCGAACTCACTAACATTTCTGCTCTTTTCAATCATTTCTCAAACTAACTTCCCCATAGTTATTGCGCAGTTCCTTCAGTCCCTTAGAAAAATATATCGAAAAAAATGAGCCACATCAAGAGCACAGAAAAATTCCCGCCAATTTTATTACAAGGAGTTTGCACATCCAGGAAGTTGACAAACAGTCTATTTTCATGGTTTAAGGCTCACGTTTACCAAAAAGAAGGATCAAGGAAAGAAAAAACACTTCAATAAAGGAGGAAAATTAAGTTGTTTTTTTCTCGAAGAATACAGCAGAAATATTCAAACTATTGATGAAGAACAACTTCTTTCGCTGTTGAAAATGAGCTTTTCAAAGTTACTTTATATATTTTGAGTGATGAAGCGACTGCTCACTTCTCTCTCCTCATCCCCTAACGCTATAATACTGTTGTCTGTACATTAACTGAAGATGTCTCCCGGCCAATCAAATTTCGAGATGCATGCTTTTCAAATCTTACAAAAAGATCAAAAAAATCTTACAAAGATTGAATGCTCATATTTTATACATCAAATCACGGTTCAAATCACGAGTAATCTTGGTCCAAAGTTAACTTCGATTTGACATATTTGAGCTCTAAAGATCCGTTTATATTCTAAACTTTGTTGTTGCTTGCAGGAAACTGGTATTATCACAAGGCACCGTTGTGGGGAATTGAACACAATCTGTCWTAATATGGATGTAAAAAGCGCCGACGTAGAACTGTTGTGTCRCATTGCAATATGGCAATGCCATTATATTATAAATACGATAAAAATTGATAAGATGCTGTGAATATCAAGATATTTTGTGCCTCTTCACTCTTAAATAAAAAAAGCAAACCAGAAATACTGACACAACGTTTATTTTGAAGGGATGATGTCACGATATCACTTAGATCATGTTTTGCTAAGGGAAGGTACATTTTTTATGTTGAGGGAGGGTGGGGAATTTATAAAATTTGTCAGAATATTATAGGGGTCCCTCTTTTCGGCATTCATTTCACCCCCCCCCCCCCCCCCAAAAAAAAAAAAAAAAAAAAAAAAATATCATGATCATGCAAATACCTGCATGATCACAATATTGTCAAAGTACCCAACACATTAAACTGCAATATGTAATGGGAAGAATGTTTTTATTTGCAATATACGGTCAATATCGTGACATTTTTTCACCGATTTAAACGATGATTTGTTTTTAAACACCTTTCATGTCATAAGTTCCCGCGATGGTACTGSGGCTATATCGGAGGGGTCTTCCTACTCGGAGAGCTGGCTTTTTTTCTGGGTGTGTAGTCCTCTCTTACCAGGGAGTGAACCCCAACGCCCTCGCTGAAAAATTCTGGGTTTTTCTCTTGAATCGACATTTTTAGTTCCTTCCATCAAATCAAGCATAGTTCTCTTACCGGGAACGGCACCCCATCTGTATCGTTCCATCAAATCAAGGGCAGTCCTCTTACCAGGGATTGCACCCCATCTGCCAAGTATGCCCCCATTTCTTTTTAAATTGGTACTTCTTGTCCCTTCCTTCAAATCAAGCGTGTTTCTCTTACCAGGAACGGCACCCCATCTGTATCGTTCCATCAAATCAAGGCCAGTCCTCTTACCAGGGACGGCACCCCATCTGCCAAGTATGCCCCCTCTCTTTGAAWAGTCTTTTTCAGCTCTATTTATCGTGTCGAGAGTACTTCTCTTACCAAGAACAACGCCCCATCTTTGTTGTCTATACCGATCTTCAGCATCTTGAAGAAAAAAAAAAAGCGTTGATGGTTAAGTTTATGGCTGCTTATCCAGAAAGCTCGACGAATTTGGAACTTGCTAATGTTGTTCATTAGTATTACCATACTAGTGGACTATTGCAAATCCTTCGTTCTGATTGGCTATACGCTACTCGGGGTCTATTTTCAATAGTCCTTGACTAGCGAAAAGCGACAACTTTTTACGTATTTTTAGCAATAAAACCATTCAGTTAATTATATATTTCATTCATTTTTTGTCCAACTAGTATAGTAAAACTAAAACGATTAGATCTCTCGGCCTTCGGCCTCATGGGCTATCAGCTCGTAGTCCACTAGCCCTCGAGATCATCTAATTGTTCGATAGCCGAGTTGCGAATTGCTATCTTAGAAGTCCCGCAGGAAGAAATCAAGACGAGTTGCCGTGTGTAATCATCAGTCATTTATAAAAAGCCGGTATTTTTTCCTTGAGTGAATGAGTTTTATGCACGATTCCTTGCCTTCTATTCGTGTGACCATTGAAGTGAACGTTGAATATTGAGTGATTATCACTTTGAACATTTTCTTGTTTGCATTTTTCTAATTATTTTTAGGTTTTTAAATAATTTATTCTATGTACCTGGGAGAGCATCAAGATTCCAAATAACAACAGCAAAACACAAAGCAATGATAAAACCTTTCATCACAATGACTGTGGCGGGTCTTAACGAGAAATCTGAAAACAAAAAAACAACAAATAAATAAAGCAAAAGTACATTCTATGAGTTAGAATGAAGTCAACAAACCCATGAAACAAAATTTGAAAAAAAAAACAAACGAAAACAATGCAATTAGAGCGTACTAAGGTGTATTWGTGCAATATCTATTTCACGGGTTTCTAGACTCTGAGCTTTGGCTGCTAAAATCATGAAAGTCTCACCTGACCCAAGCTTAGTCCTCAAGTAGTGTACAGGATAAAATGAACGTACTCTTTATAACGATTGCAAACGTAAGTTTATCTACATCCTTTGTCGTCACTCGGTAATAGGTTGTAACAAATCGATTTGTGAAATGTTATTTCGCGGTATGAAGAGAGTGCTGCTACGAGAGCTAAATCCTGGAAACTCAATATTTATGTTGGATGATCGTTTAATTCGACGGATGTTGATTACATGAAAAAAAATGAATTACTGATGCCGGCTGCAAAATAMGGGCGATGTCCGAAACACAAGGCTCTACTTTTTATATTACATTCCGCCTTCGAATGTATTCACTTTTTCATTGTCTATCCAAATGTTCTTTTTGTTGCAAGGTAATAGGACATAGGTTTTTGTTAACGATCTGTTGAGTTTTTTACTGTTTTTAAGCCCAAAACTTCTATAGATGTGTAGACGGGCTGTTATAACAGTTATTTTTCTCTGGTCAATGGAAAAAAACGCGCGCTTAAAGGTTCTAAAGTTGATGTAAATATGATGTAAGTGTCCAAAATTCTGTAAATTTGATGTAAATGATTTTCATTAAACAGAATTTTGGATACTTAAATCATATTTACATCAAATTTACAACCTTTAAGCGCGCGATTTTTTCAAGTGCGCTGAGTAAAAGAGTTTGGATGTCACGAGAAAATGTAGCTGTAAATTAGGTCAGGAATATATTTAAATTCTCCTGCTATATCAAGTATTCTACATTGCAATCTGCGATATCGTGCAGAGAAAGACTATTGAGATAAATTAGTGAAAAATAAATATACCTGAGTAACTTTTTATTTCTGTTTAKGTATGTGTGTGTTTTTGTAAGAAGGATTACTCTCATTTTTATTCAACGCAATTATAGCCTCAAATGAATATACCTATATACACTCTCGTTCACCATAAAAAACTGAAACCTTTCCCATCGATGGCTTTGAAGTTTTTTAAGGTTGTGGTTGATGCACGAAAGTCCGAGGTTTTGAGCACAAAAATTTCCTTATGACTATGAAATGACTTAATTTCGAAAACCTGGAATGCTTCTTTTTAAGGCAAAGCCATCATCTCGAAATTTTGGAGTGGGAGTTTCCCAACTGCAATGCTTGCATTTTATGTGTCATTGCATTGAAGATTGCTAGCAAGTTTTGCTCTAATAATTCGTACAGGCAACAACAAAAAGATAAATGAATAAATATATTCGATGTTGCTGTTTCCTATTGTTATTATTTAGGATTATTCCATTGCAATCATTTCTGCATTAGGAAATGTTCACTAAGGAGATAATTATTTTGATGATATTCATATGGACCATCTTTGTGAGTTGAGCAGTGTATTGTAATTGAATAGCTACGAAACGACTTTGATCACAGAAATGTCAGTCTTTGTATCTCCTTTCATCGCAAATCGCCATTGTAAATTTATCAATTTATCATAATCAAAGATTCCGAAACCCTTAATGKAGAATGAAKCAGCGACGTGTTTCCCAGGATAATTGTATCTTTAATGGGAAGATTTATTTCTCGGAAAACAAATAACAACAACACAGACAACGAGTGTTTCTATTTCAAATGTTAAAAGATGTACAATACAATCAATAAAGAGATCAAACGTTTCGGTGTTCTTTTCCTTTTTTTAATCTTTTTACAACAGACAGAATTTAGGACGATCTCGATCGATTGTGTTTGGCAAAGCCTTCGATTGAACTTCAGAGGCGTAGCAAGAATTAAATGTTTTTTGGGGGCATATCAATTTTTTCCTGTAAATTTGACAAAACTTTAGGGAGGGGATTACGTGCCGCTCTTTACGATAGTGTTGAGCTTGATACTTTATCGGTTTTTGTTGTTGTCCAGGTGTTGTTTGCTGAGTGTTGAAAATGTAAGAGTTGATTTCAAATATACCAGGTGCAACATTTAACAAATTTGTTTTCTATTTAGCACGGTTCATTAACGACATCGAAATCGTCGAAATTGTTATTCATCCACAAGAAGTCTAGTGAATCAATTCATAGTTTTGATGATGAAATGACTACGCCAACCGTAGCTGAATAAGATTCTCGAACGATCGATCAGAAGCTGAATATGAGATTCTCGAACGATCGATCAGAATTGAGAAAATATACAATTGTAGTAAAAACAATATTAAGAAAGATATGGAAAGAAAACACACGGTTTTGCTGTTATTAATGCGACGTTTCAGTGTCGACATGATACCATTATCAAGCATGTTCCTCTCTTATAAAAAATACTATTATATACCATAAATCTGTCGCTGGTTTTAATCGATGCCTCAACACTTTTCTATTTAGTAAGAGGAAATACGGTATTTTAATTCATATATTTAAGTAGGATATCACATCGAATGGACTAATTTCTGGTTGTGTTTTCATAGAGTTGTTTTTMTTAAACCAGGAAATAGTAGACTACTTGTTGATAGCAGGCATTTCTTTACTTTCTTTCTTTCAACAACAGTATTATTCACTAAGAATCAGTGCGAAACAAATAAATATAACATTCTACTGGAGTTTTTGTATATAGTTAAGCAGTTTTAATTAGTATTCATCGAAATAAGAAATTAACTAATTAACGCATTATTGAAATATTTTATAACGAGAGATTTCCACGMTTTTCCGGGAATTGAAGTCAGCCACTTCGATTTAGTGAAATCCAATTCCCCGAACAGCGCGAAAAGAGCCGTATGAGTGTAGTTCAATTATTCGTTAATTGTTGTACTGGCCTTGTGAGGTGGATAATAACATCAACAAATTATTTTAATGGTGGAGCATAATTGTTTTTGTAAGGTCTCAAGTTTTTCATGATTGATGCTGCGCCAGAAATGTTTGTTGAGTTGTTTTATGATTTTACATTTATCAATATTGTTTTTATTTTTAGTTTTCTAACATTAAGTTGACAAGGCTGCCGAAGGCAAACCATGGATTCCATTTTTCATGCCCACACAGTTAATTATTCTCTGAGTCGTTCTACCAGTTGAGACAATTTCAAGACGGAARACGASTGMTGATCAAGAGGACCCTCCSATCCCACGGGTTTTAGGGACAAGGGAGCAGACGTATTGTAAAATTACATAGGGGTCAAGGGGAAAAGTTGGGACGATGTTGATGATGAGRCGATGTTGATGATGAGGATAATAGTTCTGCTGATGATTCTTCTGCCAGCGAGAATGCCTCAAGAGGAGGAGAAARARGTAGAAGAGTTGGAAGAATTGGTGGAAAACTTCCTGTTTGAGCAACTCAATGGATGCATTAAATAAAAAGATATCCAACTTTCAAGAAAATCAAGGCAACAAAACAAAATCTTTTGGAAGTGGAAGACTATGATTRGGAGGAGGCCACTGATAGATGTGTGATCTGTATTTCCAAAGCCTTCATTCCTTAAAATACAGAAACAATTTGAGAGGTTTCTTTGAGCAACTCAAATGGATGCATGAGCTAAAACGAGATCCAACTTTAAAGAAAACCATGTTTTTATTAAAATATGCAATTTGATAAATGCACCAAACCGTCTTAAGTTCAATATCTAACCGAAATTCATCTATAATTCACCCTTCTGCACGCTAGCACATCGATAATGAAAGCCCTTTAAACAAATCCACTTCACACTTTTATAACTCACACTGCATGATTCGATCCGACAGTGCTCCTAATGTACATGAACACCTGAAACACAATATTCTGATTGTATCTCGAGAGCTTGCGGTTCYTCAAAGATTGGACGGAAAGTTTGCGATGGAAGAAATGACTAGAACTACGGTCTTTGTTCGTGCTTCGTGTTCTATATCATTTTCTGTGCTTCGAGAAGTCCGTTTTCAATCCTAAGTTCTTGCTCCTTGGGGCGCCGGCCAAATACCCTTCTGATAATGTTTAAAATTAAAGATAACAATCGAAAAATTACAACAATAATGATAACAATTGGTCGCGTTTTGGCCTTACAATTTCCCTGTCCTCAGCCTTGTTTTCCCACTCTATTTTGCGCTTATAAGTTACGTGTCCACCATTAGGCTCGCAGCGAATAACGATCACTAATGCTATGGGGATCACTAGTGTGGTGCAGTCCTATTGGTAATGATCTTATTTCGTCTCCAAAGCGACGCAATCAGAGTACACTGCGAAAATCAATTTATTTAAAACATTTCAAAAATATTTTCCATAAATGTAATATATACACACATCTGAATATTGTAAGACTTCACAAGTCTTAGCGAAATAATTCTTGAAAATTCTACATCACACTATTTACACACTCTTGTTACAATAAACAATTACCCAATTACATCCGAGAACGTTTGGGTTCGTTTTTGTTGAAAAAACATATTTTGATGAATGTTACTTTTGGTCCAACATCCCGCCCGCACACACTAAAAATTCAGCCACGAAAAAAAAAACAGTAAAAGAAGGCAGTGGATAAAGGTAATCAGAAATTCTCCAAAATTTCGATTTTCTGCACGTGAAAATACTTCGGAAAGGTTCCCGGATGTTAYATTACATTATTAAATTAGACACATTACTATGCGCATAAATTAAACCCAATACCCATTTATGACTAGTCCTTTATGCAATGTGCAGCAAAGCATGATGGTAGTTGTAGTCCTCGTACTTTTTTGTGTCCGCTAAAACAGTCCTTCTGAAATGTTTTTTCTATTTCTAGGCCAAAATAGATGTTGTTCTGCCGTTGCTACAACAAAAGCGTCTTATTAAAATAAACTACCATCATGCTTTGCTGCACAAAATGGCGTCACTGCAGATTATCTTTTGTTCACACAACACAAACACAACAGCGTGCCATTTCAACGCGTTTATAAAGCAACGAATAGAATTCCTTTGCATTTTAAGGACTTGTTCATAGAAGTCTAAACCACTTCAGTGATATGTGTGTGTACACAGATAGGCCTATTTACTGATATGCCTCACAGTTAAGACATGTAGTACATATTTGATGACAGTTTGGCCCTTGTGAAGAATTAAAGTTTCATGGGGTACGATGAAACCCAGGATAGCCATTTGTTCGAGTTTTTGCCAGTTTTTACGATAAATAATACATCTCCTAAGATATTTTACATTTTAGATGAAGAGCACATTTTGAAATTATTATATATGAATCTAATTAATAATAATTAATAATTTTATTTTATACAGCGCTTATACAAATCTGCTCTAAGCGCTTTCAAATTACAAACAATTACAATGACAGAGTCATGGTAGACTGCGAGCTTAATCTAATGCTGCAATCCTGCTGTTTTCATTGCTGTATCGATACAAAATACTCCCATACACTAATTCAGATATCCATAAACAGTTAAATGTACAAAAACAGCTTGATGCCCGGTTTTCATCGTACCAGTGCACTTTACTGAGAATCAAAAAAGCTTATAAACTACTGATAAACTAAGCTTATAAACTACTGATAAACTAAGCTTCATGTATGGTATGACTTTTAGTCTCCGGTTTGTTCGAGAAGGTTGTTTGAAATAACTGTCAAAGAACAACTTCTAGTTAACATGATAAGTTGAAGTTAGCATCAACAGTGATTGACAACCCATCGTAGAAGATCTCATGGAAAGAAAGCATTGTATGTCTTTGATGGATGAATATTACCACCGACAATGAATTCCCACAATGCTTTTCTGCCATGCATTCTCCAAACTGTCTAACAATCGCTATACAGCTATTTCAAAAAAAGTTGTCGGGGAGAAAGGCGAACGGCGATCACTGTTTTGATAAACAAAATTTCAATTACTGGATTCACCTTACGTAGAAATGGAGACTAAATGGAGGCAATGTTTACCACARACCATCTTACAGTACAAATCASTTGCTATCATTTGCCTTTCTACTAGCAAAACCCATKAYTACTTTCGGTCGTGCAACTGACATTCGACCATTGACATTCGCCATTCGCCAATGGCTATATACAACTGRCATTGAATTCCTACTTCAAGCATCGCTGCTCTTTATTACCTCACTTTTTATGAATGCTTCTCTGCGTTTATTTCCATGAAAATCAACTGGTCGACAAGAAAGCAATCTCGTGGATTTTTGACTATTTTGCCCAAGCCAACCATGATAGACTCYTCATTATGAAACACACCACCAAACCGAGCTTCTTTTAGATAATTGTAAACTTTCTGGAAAGGTTCTTTTCCTAGAAGCTTGATGCAATCACTGTTTGTTGTCAAGGAACATTACTACTACTACTACTAATAATAATAATAATAATAATAATAATAATAAACTTTATTAATCACATCCTTAAGAAAGGTTTTTCAGAGATTATTTACAAATAAAGAAGGAAAATATACATATAAATATATTAAAGAYAGATTAAAATTGTATATACATTGTACAATTATTTACAACAGGGACTCTTGGAAATCTTTTAAAAGATTGGTTTTGAGGTGTTGTTTAAAATGTTTGATGTTGGGTTCTTGTTTTAATGAAGGGCTTAGATTGTTCCAAATTTTTTGTGCCTCTGTATGTTAAAGTCCTTTGACCTGCAGCCGTTTTGAATAGTGGGATCTGTAGATTATCAATRTTACTCATACAACAGAGAGAAATGAGTGACCTGAAATACTCATGAGACTACAAACGAAAGTGACGACATGGAAYAAATGACAACGCACAAATTCATAGAATGCAAATGAGAATTTACCTAAATAAAACTGACCATAATAATAAGAACAACTATGAAATGACAAAATAAAGATGCCATAAATAGAGGATATTACATGGGCGCGCGGATTTTATCTTCGAGTGTTCAATTGATATCGAACGAGTGTTTGTAGCGAGAAGATCAACTCCAAGCGACCATGTAATATTCTGTTTATCATAAAATTACATATAAAAGCAACTTTTGTCGCAAAATACATTTTCTTCTTAAGTCCACTATACAACGAAATCTCAAAATAACATGTTAATTTCACTAGTGAAAATATCAACGTTTCGCAATGGAGAAATAAGCTGTATTTTCCACAAGCTGAGGAACGAAAAAAGTGGAAAATGTTTTCTCTCACACCATGRGAGCCTGGGCCGAGAGTCCTTAATCACGTGAGCAGGGTTTTAGTTCAGTTGCTTTTTCGCTGTCCGCCATCGACTAAGTTTTCACCCAGGCAGTGCCCACCCACCCTAGTACAGTGCTTGTAGTTATTCAGACTTTGTACCGAGTAGAAGTATTTTGTAAAAGTGATGTTAACATTTTAAACAGTTGAGTTGTCATTGTTAATAAAATACTCTGTTGGCGGTAGTCAGCTAGACAATAAGCCAAAGTCTGTTGGCGGTAGTCAGCTAGACGATAAGCCAAAGTCTGTTGGCGGTAGTCAGCTAGACAATAAGCCAAAGTCTGTTGGCGATAGTCAGCTAGACAATAAGCTCCCACTGGTGTGTGAGAAAGTTAAGTTATTTCATAGATAATTATATAATAAAAGATAAGTAACCAGCCAGTATTGGATCGAAGGATTCCAAGAAAGAACATGCGCAATAAAATTCATATTTAATCATGATTGACAAAGGATACCCAGTCAACTTTGATATTCTTTGAGTCACTGCTTGTTCAGAAACTTCATCTGACAAAGAGCATTCAAGGTCACTTTGTGTAGAATCTAAAGCCCTCTCTAATTGACCAACAAGAGCCCCGTAATCGTCATCACTATTTAATGTCCCTTCATCATCACAATCACTGCGTTCGTCATCGCTATCAAATTCATATTCAAACTGTGAATAGTAAGTTTCTGCCAAATTCGCATCCTCTGGTATACCAGACACTGTAGTTAAATCAAATGCATCATCTGGAGATATAAATCACATAGCTTGTATTAGCAAATAATGCAATGTAGTGGTTCTTACAGTGAGAGTGTAATGATGAATAGGTAAGGCCCACAAAAATGCAATTTGTCTCTAAAACTGATTAATCATCTACTTTTCAAATGATTTGAAGGAAAAATGACAAACAATGGAGGYTAAAATTCACGAAGATTTAAATGGAGTCTGTGTTTGATTTCGCTCGCTGAACTTAGCTTCAAACCGAAGCGTCCAAATATTGTACGAAGCTATTTTAATGAGCAAAAAAAACATTGCTTGTGTATTTACCATTTAATGTTCTTTCTACAACAGTTTCACTCGCTGTTGACAGGTCAAAAGACCGCGTTACTGTAAAGGAAGGGTCACTGAAGACATCAGGATTTGCATCAACCCATGGCAAGGATACTTGATTCTGGTATAGTAACATACTATTAATAAGACTTTCCTAGGTGCTCGATACTATAGTTCATAAACATAGTCAAAGATGATGACCATATTCTATTTTCTCATCATTTCTATTGGTTGCTTGCCTGCTTTTTCCTATRGGAGACGCACTGTTCCTGGGCTTCATTTCCTTGTTTAGCCATATACTCCCTGAAACAATAAATTATTACTTATTCCTGCAAACTAATTTTTCTCAAGTACGTCACATCAAGAAAGCACTTCAAGCACTCGCATCTATGAACAGTGATGTCACTGATTTCATCTCAATA